TATCTTTTAAGGTTTTATATATATATATATAAACCAAAAAAACCTGTTGCAGTGGAGCTGGTTCCAACTCATAGTGACTCTATAGGACAGAGTAGAACTGCCTCATAGGGTTTCCAAGGAGGGGCTGCTGGAGTCCAACTGCAAACATTTTGGTTAGCAGCCAAGCTCCTAACTACTATGACAATACATATACACACATATATATACACATATGTATTATATGTGTGTGTATATACATATACATATATATATTTTGTGTGTGTGGTTCTTTGTTTTTTTGAGAATTATCTGCTCATGACTTTTTCCCATTTTTCTAATGGATTTTTGATCTTCTTCAACCTAAATTTTAAGAATTCTTTATATATTAGCAATATTAGCACTTTATCTATATTTAGATCTATGTTGCAAACATTTTTTCAAAGTATCAGTTGTTTTTGACTTTGTTTATGGTATTTTTGCCATGCGATTTAAAAAAAAATTTCATACCTCAGTATCAAACTTTTTTTTTTATTTGCCTCTGTTTTCAGTCATAGTTAGGAAATCTTTATCTATATGAACATTAAAGAGAAATTCACCCATGTGTTCTTCTAGTTTTTTATTTTTATATCTTTAGATCCCTGTTGTATTTGGAGTTTATGCTTATGTATGGTGTGAGGTTTGGATTTAAATCTATTTTATCCCAAATGACTATCCAGTTGTCCCAACACCACCTAATAAAATAATCAATTTTGCCCCAGTAATCCAGCAAATGGATGCAGTGCTGGAAGTGCTCATTTGCCTATGCCAAGAAATTTGGAAGACAGCTACCTGGCCAACCAGCTGGAAGAGATCCATATTTGTGCCCATTCCAAAGAAAGGTGATCCAACAGAATGCAGAAAGTATCGAACAATGTCATTGATATCACACACAAGTAAATTTTTGCTGACAATCATTCAAAAATGGTTACAGCAGTACATCAACAGGGAACTAACTGCCAGAAATTCAAGCCAGATTCAGTAGAGGACGTGGAAGAAGGGATATCGTGTCAGATGGATCTTAGCTGAAAGCAGAGAACACCAGAAAAATGTTTATCTGTGTTTTATTGACTATGCAAAGACATTCAACTGTGTGGATCATAACAAATTATGGATAACATTGAGAAGAAGGGGAATTCCAGAACACCTAGTTGTGCTCATGTGGAATCTGTACATAGACCAAGAGGTAGTCATTCAAACAGAACAAGGGGATACTGCTTGGTTTAAAGTCAGGAAAGGTGTGTATCAGGGTAATATCTTTTCACCATACTTATTCAGTCTGTATGCTGAGCAAATAATCTGAGAAGCTAGATTATATGAAGAAGAATGTGACATCAGGATTGGAGGAAGACTCATTAACAATGTGCGATATGCAGATGACACAACCTTGCTTGAAGAGGACTTGAAGCACTGACTGATGAAAATCAAAGACTACAGCCTTCAGTATGGATTACACCTCAACATAAAGAAAACAAAAATCCTCACAACTGGACCAATAAGCAACAACATGATAAAGGGAGAAAAGATTGAAGTTATCAAGGATGTCATTTTACCTGGATCCACAATCAACACCTGTGGAAGCAGCAGTCAAGAAATCAGAAGATGCATTGCACTGGGCAAATCTGCTGCAAAAGACCTCTTTAAATTGTTAAAAGCAAAGATGTCACTTTAAGGACTAAGGTGTGCCTGATCCAAGCCATGATGTTTTCAATGGCCTCATATGCATGTGCAAGCTGGGTAATGAATAAGGAAGACTGAAGAAGAATTGATTCCTTTGAATTATGGTGTTGGTGAAGAATATTGAATATACCATGGACTGCCATAAGAATGAACATACTTGTCTTGAAAGAAGTACAGTCAGAATGCTCCTTAGAAAGAAGGATGGCGAGACTTTGTCTCATATAATTTGGACATGTTACCAGGAGGGACCAGTTCCTGGAGAAGGACATCATGCTTGGTAAAGTAGAGAGTCAGTGAAAAAGAGGAAGACCCTCAATGAGAGAGATGGACACAGTGGCTGCAACCATGAGCTCAAGCATAAAAATGACTGTGAAGATGACAAAGTACCAGGTGTTTCTTTCTGTTGTATGTAAGGTCTCTGTGAGTCAGAACCAACTCAATAGCACCTGACAACGACAACAATTTTTGATACTGCTTTTATCATATACTTCATTTCTATATGTACTTGGGTCTATTTCTGGGCATCCTGTTCTATTATTATATTTATGCATCAGTACTGCACTATTTTAATTATGGACACTTTATGGTATGTTGTAATGTCTAATAGAGCTAGCTCTTACTCCTAGACTTTCTCTTTACTGTTTTTGTGCCTATTGTTGCATGTTTTGTTTTTCCAGGTGATTTTTAGTATCAACTTATCTAACTCCATAAACAAGTTTATTGGTGCTTTTATTGGGATTGTGTTACCTTAATTTAGGGAGAAGTGACACCTTTGTGATATTGAGTCATGCTATCCAAAAGCTGAGGGTGACTTTCTATTTGTTTAAGTCTATTTTTATATCTTTAAGAAGTATTTTCCTCATAATAGGTTTGGCACATTTTTAGTTAAATTTATTCCAAAGTGTTTAATTTTCTTGTTGCTGTTGTAGGTTAGGAGTTTTTCCTTCTGTCATTATGTCTTCTAACTAGTTATTGTTGGTGTATATAAAGAATCATAATTTCTGTATGGTATGTTTTTATTCTGCTACTTTTATAACACGTTTTATGGTTTGAGTTGATGCCCTTTCTTGATGTGAGCCAGAAATACATTTTTATTGTGTTAAGCCCTTGAAATTTGAATTATTTGTTATGATAGTAAAGTATGACTAATACAAGGTAGATATATTTTTATTCCCATCTTAAAATAAGGAAACTGAGACCAGAGGATGACAAATTTGCCCAAGGTCATAGATCTAGCAATGAAGAACACTGGCTTTTAAGTCAAGATTCTGTGCTCTTTTATCTACAAAGGGAAAAGACAACCTACAGATTGGGAGAAATTTTTTAGGAACCATAGTTCTGCTAAGGGTCTTTGTGGTGTGGAATTACCTTACCAAAACAATTTGGCCTTTTGGTCCTGGTTCCTGAGATCCACCCAGGCTGACTTTCACCCAGATTGGCTGGGGAGCCCCACCTAGTAACTGAGCTTTATCTGGATTGGCTGGGGGTGGAGGCTCACCCAGTAATTGACCTTTACCAAGATTGGTTGAGGGGCCACACCTGGTCTGACCTTTACTGGTATTGGTTGGAGGGTCCCACACTGTAGTTGACCTTTACCCAGATTAGCTGCCCCTCCCCCCCCAACCTGGTGACTGATATAAACCTTAGGCTCAGATGGGGCCTCCTGATCAACAGAGCAAGAGGGTAGCATGTCCTTGGATATGGGCCCTGAGCTGAGAACCTCTTAAGCCTGATAAATCTGTGACAGCAATGGAGGCAGTGACTGTGACAGTACCAAAAAAGACAGAGACAGTAAGGAGATCCAGACTGCAGCAGAGAGTAAAGGCCAAACCCTGGCCAAAAGGTATGACACTCTGAGAGCTGGATCACACCAACCAGGGGGCCATTCATGGAGCAGGGACCATCTGAGAACTGGCAGGGAGGAGCCAGGAGCCAGATGAGAGGAGCAGTCAAGAAAGGAGCCCACTCTGTAACATCACAGAATAGTTTCTGTTTGAAAGTTTCCTGATGGGTGAGAAGGAACATTGGTTTTTGAGAAGAATAAGCAGGTCCTCTTTGAGACATAAATGGGTACCTTGAGAGGCCGAGGCCCTGTGCTGGTATCCCTCCTGAACCTCACCCTATGCATATTTTTATTTGTTTATGTCCTCTGTTTATATCTTTCTCTGTTATACAAAAGTTGTTATTGCAGCTACGGTGTTTCCATAAGTTTTCTGTGATTGTTGCAATGAATTATCAAACCCAACAGAGAAAGAGTGCTGTGGGGAGAATGGCTAGTGTCAGAAATGGTGGAGAAGTTGGAGAACAGGGGTGTATTTAGCCTCTGCCTCGTAAGAACCAGTGTTGTGTTGATTCTTATGGTCAGAGTTGTCATTTCAGTTGGTGTCCAAGGAAGTTCACTTATTTCAGGGTATAATATTCAAATATATATTCTACAATTTATGTAACTTACTTCACTTCTATAACATAACAACAAAAAGACAAACAACCCAATCAAAGAAATGGGCAAAGGACTTGAACAGACATTTCACCAAAGAAGACATTCAAAAGGCCAACAAGCACATGAAAAGATGCTCAACGTCATTAGCCTTAAATCAAAACAAACACAACAAAACAACAACAACAAAAAAACCACTGCCATCCAGTTGATTCCAACTCATAGAGTGGAACTGCCCTTACGGTTTCCAAGGAATGGCTGGTGGATTTGAACTGTCAATCTTTTGGTTAGCAGCCATAGCTCTTAACCACTGTGCCATCAAGGCTCCAAAAAGTCTCCAAAAAGCCATTACGGAGATGCAAATCAAAACTACAATGAGATATTACCTCACCCCCATTAGAAAGGCAATGATAAAAAAAAAA